CTCTTTGCCGCAACAGGTTACTGTGGAGACAAGCCCTAGGCAAGAACGTGTTTTAAAAATAAATGTTGCACCTTTTCTAGTGTGTTCTCCCTCTTTGTTTGATGTGGCATTCGTATCATGGGAGGGTATAGATTTCATGCTACAAAAAGATGGGAACTTTGAGGGAAATACGGTGGGTATATCACTCTTGTATGATGCATCCTTAAGGGCAATTGAAAATCAAGAAATGACAGTGTTGTGGGATCATCTCCATAGAGTGAAAAAGGCTACTGCTATTTTAGAGGTATTGGGAAATCAGGATACTGAAGGAGACTTTATAACACTAAAGAAAAAATCAGATATGGATTGTGTCATGCTACATATTGGTGGTGTTTTTTTGCATATCACCGAGAAGAAACTACCGTTGCTGTTACATCAATTTATGGAGGTCCACAATTTTTTTTGTTCCAATATTTTACCATTGCCTTTATTACCACGAGAAAATGTTATTGCTACTTCCGAGCTGAATTATGCACTCATGAATATTCAGTTCGACGAGGTGCATTTGGGTTTTAGGTGGAACAGTCGAATGAATGGTATCTATGGGGAACTTCATTGTGCCCTTTTTGCGTTTACATGGAGAAGTAATGGAGCCTTAACCTTGAAGGATGGAGTTATGCAGTTGAAGTGGTTTGATGCAGCTCCACTTGGTGAGTCCATGGGTTCAGTTGATCTATTGCTTCAAGAGGCCAGCGAGACTGTACCGCTGATTGAACACATATCGCTTTCAACTGAGGAATCACGTTTAGGGAAGATCCTTGTGAAAATCTCACCTATTCACATGAATTTAGCCTTCGACACCTATTTGAGCCTTGTTGAGCTAGTCGGGTACCATCTGAGACTTGAACTCAGAAGACCCGCGAGGGGGACATCAGTGGATTTCGTTTCTGTAGAGACCCTAGGTAAAGGTGCCTTGGATATGAAAAAGTCACTTTCATCTGCTTCATATTTGTTTTCATGTGGGAATGGGGATACTCTTACATCATTCAGCGGTGCGGGATTTCTTGTGCAGAGTGTTGAAGTAACTCCTACCTGGCAATTTTCTCTGGAGTTGGCGAAGGTAAGGCTCACGGTCGACACGGAGCGGCGGGTGAAAAATGCTGACAAGAAAAATTTCAAACCTTTATTGTGGTTAAACCTCACAAATATCATTTTTGATCTTTTTCCTAATGGGACTTCTTTTGCGTTGGATGAGGTGAGACTATCTTGTCTTCGCGAGACAAGTGTCGTGTCCCTTTCAGGTTTGCAGTTTAGTACATCGCGTGCTTCTGATTCAATGCATTCAGTGCCCGAGATGGTGTGCATGGTGCAATCGATTATCACTAGGCTTTTTACACCCGATTTGTTGACGTGTTTTGATCGCCTCATCAAGACTCCTGCAGAGGAGCTTGCAGAACTTTACTGGGAGACGACACACCCAAGTGGAAGTGATATTCTATGCCGTTTCCATACCGAAGACAGTACTCGTGGTGATGGCAGTAATGGTGACAACCGTAGCGAGAGTAAGAAGGGCAATTACCGTAAGATGGAGGTTTTAACGGTGGGTACACCTGTGTGGGAATTGACGAACGACCTTGTGCTTAGCCGCAATGGTGGAACGGTGTTACAGTTCTCTAACGTGAATACAAACAATATTCACGTGGAGATGAACGGCCACTCAATTCTTATTGAGACGCCACGGAAAGCCGGAGCTGAGATTGTGATGGTGGTGGACGGAGGAATTTCATTGACGTTTTGCAATGGTCGTTTTGTTTTGCCTTGTCTTCTCTCGGAAGAGACTCGAATGCGTCGTCTAGAACGTTTAGGCGAGGAGGCCTTGTTGTTACCATTCATAGCACTGGGTGAATGCAGTTATATTCGATGTTTTAAAGTCCGTTATGCCACAACCGAGAGGCATAATTTGCAACATTTTTATCATCATGAGGAGCAGAAGCAACAGCAAGAGGATGGGGCGATTGAAACTGTGCGCCCTCAACGCTGGAAAATGCATGCGGGAATTCATTCAGTCATACTACATGTATCTTCGGAACGAAAAAAGGGTATCGTGAAGGCGACTGTTGCCGTGGAAGCGAAGATAAGCCTGCATGGTAAGACGATTGAGCGAGGCGAGATTTCCCTTGAGAACTTTAGTGTTGTCACACGCACCATGGATTCCACCACTACTAATACAACCAGCACCACCACCACCGCCGTCAGCAGAAGCAGCAGCCCCAAGAGTAACAGTAACATGAGTGCATCGGCGATGGATAATGTTTTGATTGCTCCGGTTTCTATTCATCTCTGCATCTCGGAAAGCCGTCAGTTTGCGTTTTCTCTGGGGCGGGTTGTTGTGGATGCCATGGTGGGCGATTTGTTGTTGTTGAGTATTATGGCGCGCGAGCTTTTTCTTTTTGCGCGGCATGTTATATCATTCCAGCTTGCACCAACGGAACAAGAGTACAGATTGCAAATTGAGCACGTCTTGGGGTGGAATTCGGCAGGTATGCGTGGAGATCAACACGAGGAGGGCGGTGATGCTCGACAAAGGGGCGAGGCGCCGAATGAAGAGCCAACAAACACAATGCCAGTACTTTCACTGGCCTTATTCCTGCCCATGATGGAGGTGACACTAAGCAATCTCAAGTATCCACTGGTACAGCTGTCACTAGCCGATATTGTGTGGAAGGTGAACATGTTTTGCACGAGTCGAACAACCTTGTTGCAGAGCCAGCAGCTCAATATACAGGTTTACGGCAAGGGTCGCTGGGATACAGTCATACCACCAAAGGCTGTGATATCCCTTGAGGCAGTTCATTCTTGGTCAAGAAGGACTCGTACGGAGCAGGTCGAGCTGCAGTGTGACGGCCTTGTTTTGTATGCCTCACACCTATTGCTCTCCAAGATGATGCACATCCACCGTGAATGGTCAGAGTTTTATTCTACCATTTTTGAACTTTCACATCATGCGGAGGAAGCGTCACCTCCGATGGGTCTTTCTAACATTTTGAATCCCGTTTCCACCGCGACACATCGTTTTATAAATGTTTTTGATGATGTTTTTTATCTCTTTGTTGGAAAAGATTTGGAAAATGGAGAGATTGTGCCATTACCCTCCTGCACCGCAGTGGATCTCACATTGCCGTTCAACAGGGCGGAAGATGTTCGACTTTACCTATACCCTCGGCATTGCATTGAGCTGAATGAAAATGGGCGTCATGTAAGAAATAATGAGGGATTACGTAGAGACATGCAACACTGTCATGTTGTGGCAAGTCAGTTGCAGTACGGTCGTGCCTTTGGTCTTGTATTGGATGATCTGCTTGTGGTAATCTCATGTGTAGAGACGGAAGGGATCCAGAAGGGGATGCCACCCTTGTCCTCTGTGAACGCCAGATGTTATCAACATGCTGACCGTGGTACGACGCCTCTTACTTTGACCAATCAGGCAAATGTATTGCCCCCATTTCGAAAGTTGCCAATGGCTTCATTTGGGGGAATAGATGAGGCGGGTTTAGTCATTGTCCGTATTCATTCTCGGAGAGCCCTTTACAATGGCATTGGGATGATGATCGAGGTGCGTCAGTATATTCTAGCTGATTCAGAGGAGACACCGATGAGTGAAGACTTCTGGATCGTGCCTCCAAACGCGGAGTATCCTCTTGTTGCTTTGTGCAATCGGTTAGAGCTCCGTTTTTCGCTGGATGGGGATGTTTATGGTACGTCATTCAGAACGCTCTCTCTTGAAACTGGCGTTGTCTTGGCGTTTCAACGAATTGGAAATGAAGTGTCAAACCGGGAAAACAGCGGTTTTTTGCCAGTGTCTGTCTTTATTGCACTGCGTCATTTTCCTGAGAGCGGCTCAACTGTCATCCATCTTCTTCCCCGTATGACGGTTCTTAATCATATTGGGGTCCCTATAAAACTGTCGCTCTGGCAGGAAGAGGGAACTGAAGAAGAAAAGGAGGAGGAGGGGCTGCTGCTGAACCATCGGGATGATAGCGTGAGCAGTACTAGTAATCATGGTGAAAGAGGCAGTAGTATTACTGCTAATAGTGGTCAACCATCCTCACAACGGCCTGACTGGAGAAGGCGTTCTTCGCGACGGCGACTCATAAGTATTGGAGAACACGGAGCCCTTCCACATCAAGGTGCTCTTTCCATTTGTCGGTGCTCCTACAGCAGCGGTCTCTTGCTGAGTTTGACCTTCACACAAACAGGTGGAGAGACAGTGCAAACCGAAAGGACTACAAAGGTATGCAGCTCGCTTAAAAGGAGGGTAGGGCGAGAGCCATGTCTTATGCGGTTGCGTGACTCAAGCAAGCGTTCATTTTATGTGCAGGTGACTGTGCTGCATCGAACGATCATATTGTCTGTTGGATATTGGGTGATCAATCTCACGGAGTACCCCATTTTACTGAAAGACAGTTACACTTCACGCCACCTCACAGCGGGGCAGTCAATGAACACCGGTATTCCGCCATCACAGGGTCTTCCTTTTCTTATTGGTTCTCGTCCGGCAGAATTCACGGTTGCTTTATTAAAGATTGGTCTGGATGAGGAATGGTCCGAGGGAATTCCGACGCAGGTGGGATCGCATGGTGTTGCAGAGTCACCGCGCCGCATGGTGGGTGGTGTTACACGAAGCTGCAACTATGTTATCCAGTTCCCTCGTGTTCAAGAAGGACGACCCGCGGTGCTGCTTCTCACCCCACGTTGGGTGTTTATCAACAATGCCAACCGTCGTTTGAAAGTTCACTTTACATTTCCTGTTGTGAAAAAGAGGCTGTCATTGAAGAAGCTGTCTTCTCGTGAACAAAGATCACCACGTGCATCCGAAGCGGATACGGATTCTTTGCCGTTCCTGACGCTGCGGCCAGGCGAGCATCAATTTAGCTGCATTGGCACGGCAACTGGAAACATGGCATCATTTCAGGACACTCTGGAGGATGCTGTGCCGTCCGTCACCTCGCTCTTTTCTGATACTGTGCGACATAAAAATCTTGCAGAATTTTATGAAGCGCATCGCACTGCATCCATCTCTGTGGATGGTCCTGGCCACGCGGTGTTTAACTTGTGGGCTTCTCTTAAGCGTCAGCCAGCGGTTCCAAGTGTCTTCTATGGAGCGAGAATAGCGAATCACAGATCGTCCTCGTTATTACCACAGTCATCATCAGATTGTTTTGAATTTGATGAAGATGTGGCTTTTGTCACGGGCCGTATCAGCGTGACGGTGCAGCATATTGACAACGTTTTGGCCGTTGTGATCAACAGCATTCATTCAACAAACATGGTGATTCAGAATCGAGCGCGCAGCGTAACGCTTGCGGTGCGGCAAAAAGGAAGCCAACGTCGCACCGTTATTCCTCCGTGTCAGAACCGTTTTTTTCTATGGGAGGACTATCGTACAGATCCTGTGATATCCCTGCACGTTATTGGTTTCAAGGGAGCATGGTTTGAGGTGGACTTTTCACGGGGAAGTTGTCAGGTTCAACGGCGCCACACATCTGACCTTACAGAAAACGTGCTTTCCCCGTTTAGTTTTCGGGCCTGTATAAGCACACGGAATGCGCAGCGTGTGACAATTTTATTTACGGATGAAAATTTCCCACCACATACCTCTTTTGATGACGCGTGGCATAGAAGTGTGGGGCGCACAATTTCTTTTCCATCATTGGAGTTGTTGTGGCTCATGGAGGAGCAATCTACCGGGGATAAGCCACATTTGTCTCTGGTACTGCGAGATTTGCAGGTGCAAACCCTTGTTGCAGGCAATACCCACGCCATTTCAATAATCCTGAAGCGACTACAGGTTGTAGATGTACGCAGGCAGGCGATTGTTGTGCTGCACCGCGCGAACCCGGCAACTTCAAATGCGACAGAGGTGTCTACGGGTGGTAGGATTCTAAGCTGGCTTTGGAGAGGTGAAGAGGTACCACAGCAGGATTTCCAGGCGGTCTATGCCGCTATGATGTCACCAAGCGGTGTGACACGTGTGACGGAGTTATCTTTTGTATTTACTCCTTTTGTTTTGAATTTATCTGATCAACTTGTGGTGTCGCTTTGGCAAGAGTACCGTGGACTCTTCTCTTTTCTCAAGAATAATGGCAGCAAGACAACGCTGGTTTCAGAAGCCTTGTCATCAACACCGCTCTCACACCACGAATTCTCACAGAGGCTAATGGCGAGGATGCAAGAGCCTGAGAATTGTACCACAGAGATCTCCGTTGGTAATACGTCCCTGACTTCCTCTTCTGCAATTCCAAGTGTTAATTATTTCAATCAAAGCGAAACACACGAGGGGCCGGCGCTATTGTTTATTGATCAGGCGCATTTTTCACGTCTTACGGTATTTCTAACCTTCAGTCGCCAAAAACCCGATTTGCTGTGGGAACTGTTAGGGATGTATACATTGATGATTCCCAAAAGGCTGGAGCAAAAGGAATTCTCATGGAATGCGCTAGTAGTTGAGAACGGTACAACGACGTGGGGTTTGCTGCTCGCACAGGCACAGCGTTGGTTGATGGATGGGGCGTTGCGCCAATGGCCAAAGGTAACGCGCCTAGGTGACATTGTCGACACGTTTAAAAGAGGTTCAAACAGACGTGTTACACTCGCAGGCACACCCGCACCGAGATTGGCAGATGTAAACAATTTTTCTGATAGTGATGATGATAAGAAGGGGAAGGACAAGAGGGAAAATGAGGCACTTTCTTCCAGTAGGAGGATGTTATAGAGTTTGTCAAGTCCAATTTCATTGTCTCTGAACCTGGATGGTTTTCTTTTGTTGTTGTTGTTGTTGTTTTTGAGCACTCCCTTCGCGTACCCGGGCAAACGCCTGGCATTTTGTCTGTTTTCATCCCTTTTCTCTCGCTCTCCATTTCTTTCTTTCTTTTTTTGTTTTTTTCCTCTTTCTCCCTTCCTTCCTCCTTGTGGCAAGGCAAAAACAAGGACGCACACGTGCATACTTATATATATATACATTTATAATATTATATTTTATTACATAAAAAAAAAAAAAAAAAGGAGAGGAGGGGGGAGGGGGCTACATCTTGGATAGAGAGAGAGATGGAGCTCGGGATAGGAAACCAATCCCCGTCCCTGGGCGAGAATGACTGCTCCAACACACAAGACAACACTCAACTGAATACCGAGGTCAATGAGGAGACGCCGGTGAGAAGCAACACTCAACTGAATACCGAGGTCAATGAGGAGACGCCGGTGAGAAGCAACACTCAACTGAATGCCGAGGTCAATGAGGAGACGCCGGTGAGAAGCAACACTCAACTGAATGCCGAGGTCAACGAGGAGACGCCGGTGAGAAGCAACACTCAACTGAATGCCGAGGTCAATGAGGAAGCGCCGGTGAGAAGCAACAATCAACTGAATACCGAGGTCAATGAGGAGACGCCGGTGAGAAGCAACACTCAACTGAATGCCGAGGTCAATGAGGAAGCGCCGGTGAGAAGCAACACTCAACTGAATACCGAGGTCAATGAGGAGACGCCGGTGAGAAGCAACACTCAACTGAATGCCGAGGTCAACGAGGAAGCGCCGGTGAGAAGCAACACTCAACTGAATACCGAGGTCAATGAGGAGGCGCCGGTGAGAAGCAACACTCAACTGAATGCCGAGGTCAATGAGGAGACGCCGGTGAGAAGCAACACTCAACTGAATGCCGAGGTCAATGAGGAGACGCCGGTGAGAAGCAACACTCAACTGAATGCCGAGGTCAATGAGGAGACGCCGGTGAGAAGCAACACTCAACTGAATGCCGAGGTCAATGAGGAGACGCCGGTGAGAAGCAACACTCAACTGAATGCCGAGGTCAATGAGGAAGCGCCGGTGAGAAGCAACACTCAACTGAATACCGAGGTCAATGAGGAGACGCCGGTGAGAAGCAACACTCAACTGAATGCCGAGGTCAACGAGGAAGCGCCGGTGAGAAGCAACACTCAACTGAATACCGAGGTCAATGAGGAGACGCCGGTGAGAAGCAACACTCAACTGAATGCCGAGGTCAATGAGGAAGCGCCGGTGAGAACCAGACGTGGGGGCCGTCGGGGACATCGACGTTCGGCTCAGCAGCAATTGACAGCATCCACGACAACAATGGAAACGGGGTCAACGTGTACAACGTCCAAGCCGATGGAAACAGTCGTGGTGCCGGTAAGCGGTGAGGCGGCAACGTCGTCTGAAGATCCGCGTCCGGTAAATCGTACGTCTGTGCGTCGACGGGCCAAAGCCACCAGCACCACCGTTACAAAAGTGGTGACTGGGGTTTCTTTAGAAGATCTTCGAGCAAAGCGTAACGGCACGGCTGCCGATGGCGTTCCAGGAGGAGATGCGAAAACAATTGAAGAGGTCAGTCGTATTCTTTTTATGTACGCATCACGAAATCCACATGGTGGCAAATCTTACTTTAGCAGGCGTCCTGGTCCTTTTTCAAGTGACGTGAATTTATGCAAGGTGGGCGTGGAGAAGGAAGGAGATGGTGTGGATGCGGCGGCAGAAGGGAGCGGCATGGACACAACATCATCAACACCCGAAGGAACTGAAGAGAAGAAAAGTGGGCTTTTTGTGGGAGAGTTGCCACACCCCGATGGTGATTATACGGGCCTCCCTGATGTTTATGCCCATGTGATGTCGCTTATTCTTTCAGGGGATTTGCCACCCAAAAGCTTAGAGGTATTACATGCCATGTTGTCTCACACCCCACGCGGGGGGGTATTAGACCCATTTTCTGCATCAAGGAGGAGCAAGCATGGTTTTACCCAACCAGGGTTTCAATATAGAATGGGAGATGCAATGCAACAGGGGTCACAGCGTTTCTTCACATGCTTCGACTATTGCTCACAACAACAACAACAACAACAACTGGAGTTGATGGGTTTGATGGAGGAAAATTTTTGGGGGTATGGTGGCTTTAATTCGTACATAGATCAATCATACATGCATGGAATGGGCTGCTCTCAGTTCAACATGATGCCTTTTTATCCTCACCCCATGGACCAACAAGAAGCCACACCGGACCATGCGTATTCTAATGAAAGGGCCATGTCCTATTCGTTTCTAGGCGAGCAGGCTTCACAGCATGAAGAAGCTTATCCGATATATAATCACGGTGTGAAAATAGATGGTGCAGGAGGGTACGAAGGATATATATACCCACTGGAAGAATATGAGAAGTGGAACGTAAATAAAAAGGAGGACGGTATTAATAGCAATCATAATAATAATAATATTAATATTAATACTAATGCTTATGATGATGATGATGATGACGATGCGGATGTCACGGCAATGTTGCAGGATGTTCGGGATGCCGTGCAACGGGCATCGTCACCTCGGCAGTTGGGTGACGCCAATTCTTTGAATGATGCAGTTGCAGGTTCATTGAATGGAAGTTGCAATGAACACTCGGAAGAAACCCCATTTTCCTCCTCGCTTCCAGCGCCGTGTGTTACGATCAGTCAAACGGAGCGTGACTCATTGCGGTCCTTTCAGCAGGCATTCCTTGCTCGCATGCGGGTAACAGGATCGCCGGAGTGGAATTCCCCTGGTGCGACTTCGCCAAGAAGCCTCCTGCGTGCTCTTGTGGATGACAATGACGTGAATGACCTTACGTTGGGGCAGCCACAGCCGCCACCGCAACAACTACAAGAGCAGCAACAACAGCAGCAGCAGGAGCAGGAAGATGATGCTGACGACGGCAGGTACACAACGAATCGCACGCTTTTTTCTTACCGCACCACCTTTTTAGATGAAGAAGAAGAAGGCGAATACGATGGTGGCAGCGGTGATCTTGACGACATCCTGACCCCTGACGAGCCTGCACCCCGTGGTGATTCTGTAGCAACCACCGCCGCCCCACGGGAAAGCCACCACCAACCACAACCACAACAGCAACAGCAACAGCAACCGCAAGAACAAGAGCACTGGCAGGAGAGTTGCAGCGAGACGACATCGAAGACGGGACAATTCTCGCTACCTTTTTCTGCAATGCGTGGTGATGCAGCGGAGGACACGCAAGAGATATTCTTAGCGGCAGAAAGCAATCTTTGGTCCTGGACCCCGAGTGATGGCAAGCGGGAGGGATTGGGAGCTGAAGGGGCAACTGTGAAGAAAACAACAGCAGCGACACCGTCCAGGCGGTGGCTATACGTGGACGAGCCCAAGGAATGTTACACTTTCTCCGCCACGCCACAGCAGCCAACTACACAAAAGAAACAAGTGAGATGGAAGGATGACCACTCGCCATATTTTCCGGCCGCATGGGATCTCGCGGTGCCAATGTTTCCCGCAATGTTAGGAATGACGTCAAGCATGACTCCTGCAACCACCATGAGGGCAATAAAGTTGTCACCGTCACAAGGGATGGCCAAGACAAGTCCGGCACCTCTTAACTTTAATGCGATACCATTCATCCCGTCTCGCGCGGGGGTGTGAGCGATCTCTTTTCCATCTTTTTTATTCTCGCAGTGAATTGTTCTGAGGGCGTTGAAAGTGATGGGACGTCATTGGCGACGTGAAGACGGCTCATCAAGGAAGGAAGGAAGGAAAGAAAGGAAAAAAAAAAAAAAAACATGCACGGAGCAATCCATGTTATAAAAGGGCGAAGGAGAAATATGGCAAT